GGCAGAGATTGTAATAAAGAGAGAGAGATTTCAAATGGGCTCATTGTATGAACCTATCTTTAAATTAATATTGCTAAATTTATGTTAAAGACCATCATATTCTAAAAATAAAAAATATAATTAGACCATTTATTCCTAGGTAAAAAAAAACTAACAATAGGCCTTCATAGATGAGAGGGAGAAAAAGAGCTAACATGCTCCAAGTTTATATTGTATTGCCTTTATGTATCTAATTTAAGCTTATAATAATCACAGTTTATATGCCTGCTTGAAAAGCGTTATACTTGTTGTATTACTTTTTATTTTTTTTTTTGATAAGAAATATTTGTTGTATTATTATTATTATTTTTTTTTGACAAGAAAAATATGATACTTGTTGTATTACCTTTTTTTTTTTTTGACAAGAAATACTTGTTGTATTACTTTTTTTTTTTATGAGAAAAATAAGAAAATAACAAGAAATACTTGTTGTATTAAGAAATACCTTTTATTTTTTTATTGACAAGAAATACTTGTTGCATTACCTATTATATTTTTTTGACAATATGATACTTGTTGTATTACCTTTTATTTTATTGATGATTGAACTAGGGACCTTTAGTAGGTAAGAGGAATGTGATAACCAAATATACCACAGTGCCACTTGTTGTACTATTTACGTGAATAAAAGGCTATATTAAAAAGAGAAAGTACATTAAGGAATTGTCCTACATCGAAGAGATGTGGGAAGAAGAGGCCATATAAAACAAGAAAACCAACCCCTACTACCACGAAATATTGATGCGTGGCCACGTGTATATGGGTTTGTCGACCCTAATGTCATCAGGGCGATCCATGACGATTGTCATGTCATTTGCCAATCTATGACGTCATACGCATAATTTACTATACAAAATTGAGAAGAACACATGATTTACCATACAAAATTGAGAAATCCATGACGATGCCGATGTCCTGAATTGAGAAGAACACATGATTTACTGTACAGAATTGAGAAATCCATGACGATGCCGATGTACTGAATTGAGAAGAACACATGATTTACTGTACAGAATCGAGAAATCCATGACGATTGTACTAAATTGAGAAGAACACATGATTTACTGTACAGAATCGAGAAATCCATGACGATTGTAATGTCATAAATCGATGACGATTGCAATATCATACGACGATGTATAAAATCGAGAAAAACCAATTATGCCGATCTATGATGTCATACACACGATTTACTATACAGAATCGAGAAGAACTGATTTACTGTGTACAGAATCGATAAAGGTGTTTATTGTACAGAATCGAGAAAGGTGACCAATTCTCGTGTAACGACTCGCCGTTTTGTTTTGACTAATTGAATCATTAATGAATCGTTTGGTGAAATAAAAAATAAATTAGTAATCAATTAATTTATAAATTAAAATGAGTTTATAAATTTTATTAATTATATTCTAAGATATAGGATTTATTAATGGGTATAAGGCTTAGGCCCTAAACAATCAAAGTGAGGTGCACCTTTAAACAATGTCAAAAGACGCCGTTTTAGTTATGAAAGTCTTTTGATGACCTAAAAATTTAGTTTCATATCTAGTTATGGAATTTAAATCTTCAAAAGTAATGTAGATCAAGTTGATCTATGAACACTTGAAAATTTTGAAAATTGACTTCAAGATGCATTATTTCTAAGACTTCAAGTATATTTTTTTTATGTCCTTGTATCTCAAGGTCGAGATAATTGGATTTGAGGGTTTTTCAACATCAAAACAACTTCTTAATTTGGTTGTTTAGGGCCTCAACCTTGTATGATTTTTTTTTTTATTGATATTTTATTATACTTATATCAAATAAAAATATTTACTTTATAAAAAATAATATTTTTAATTATGTTCCATTATTATAAAATCAAGTTATTTATAAAGCAAAACACTTATAAACTAATACTATTATATAGTATTAGGGTATATGTGTAAATTCTTACCTATAGAACATGGTTTGAAAAAATGGATTCCTGATCCGGATCGTTCATATGGAAAACCGGTTCGGATCAGTGAATCAACGATCAAGATCGGAGAATCGGTTGGATTAGTTAGTTTTAGCTTCAAATTTTTTTCAAAAAGGATAAAATTTATTGAAAAATCTAATAGTTTACAAAAAAAAAAAAAAGGGTATTGTATTATGTGCTTTCAGTATTTTGCCAAAAACCCATATAAGTAGATGTCCAATTGGATGGGTTGGGGTGGAGTCACCAAGCCCAACAATTTTTCTTGGAACTTTGTGTCAAATCAATGACACTCTTGCAACCAACTATTTTGAAATCTAAAGTACATAAATGATTGTAACTATAGTTGAAATCTAAGGTACATAAATGATTATAACTACCTTGTAGAAAAGGTAAATGGTCTCTTTGTAGACAATCCCATTTATCTATGTTTATATTTAATTTAGGGTGCGGTTTGTGTAGAGCCTAGGCTCTAAACAATCAAATTAGATTCTACCTTCAAATAGTATCGAGAAATGTGGTTTCATTATTGAAAATCTTTGTGATTTTCATGTTTATTTATAAAATTTAAAGCTTCAAACATAGTGTAGATCGATAGATTTATGAAAACTTGAAAATCTTGAAAATTGACGGTACAAAATTGTGTTACAAAATACACTATTTCCAAAACATGAAATCCATTTTTTTTCTGATGTCCATGCTATCTTGATATCGAGATGATCAATTTGAAGATCTTTTGAGTATCAAAACAACCTCTTCTAGTGAAATTTTTGAGATAGGGTCAAATTTGATTGTTTAGAGCCTCGGCTCTACATAAACTTTTTCCTTTAATTTATATCTCATTATAGCTTGAAAATGTTGATACACTTCTCCATTGATTTATCATAGAGACTTTTTATTGAGTTGAATTATTTTATTCTTGAAAATATCGGTCTCTTTATTTTAGGAGTGGTAACCTATTCCCCGGACTTATCATACTTTAATATCCATAGGAATGTTGCCAAAACCCAAAATTTTAAAATACAACAAGAAGCATAATTGATCTACCCAAAAAATAATAATCAAGAAGCATAATTAAACTAGGAAATTTTTTTGTACCAGTTTATAATTAATTCCTCGAGTTCTTTGATGTGAGTTATAAAAGCCAGCGTATTTTTTTAATAAAAATTGTGAATTTAAGTATCAAATTTCTAGCGTTCTACGAAGACAAATTGAGATATGCTAGAAAAATACACTTGATTTTAGCCTAACCTAAAAGTTCATTAAAAGATGAGAGATATTGGGCCATTTAAAGGGTTTTAGGTCCTTTAAATAAGAACCGGAACTTAATATCTCTCACCTTTAATAAGAAAAAACAAAGTTGTAATAAAAGTGAAAGATGTTTGGTCATTTAATCCTTTAGTATTATTGTATTGAAAATTTAAAAAAGGAAAAAAGTTTATATTAGGATGCTACCTTATAATGTAGAACTACGAATGTCTCTCAAAAATCCATCGAAAAAGGTAATTTTAATGTTGAAAAACCCTTTGATTGATCATCTCGACATCGACATGTATGACTATGAAAAATAAAAAAGATTTTAAGTCTAAAAAATAGTGTATTTTACAGCATATTATCTATACCGTCTATTTTCAAGATTTTCATATGTTTATAGATCTACTTGATTTTAATTATTTTTAAAAGTTAAAATTTTATAATTAGATATAAAAATAGATTTTTTGATAATCCTATTAACATTTTACCTCAAAATTATATACCATGATAAAATTTGAAGAGCACCTTACCTCTGCACCTACGGAGGCGGTATGCCAGCACCCTTAAAAAAAAAAGAAAAAAAAACCAAAGTTCGCGCATAAAAAAAATGAATAAGCAAGAACCAATGAGACAGAGATGGAATGGCTTTCCCACCTTGGGGATATAGCCAAGAAAAGGGACCCAAATCACTGTAAATAAGTCTCGTGCGTGTCTCCTATGGTCGTAAGGGTATCCAATGTATAAATAAAAAAAATTTAAAAATTAAAATTTGAAATCAAAATAAATAAGATATGCCCCGGTTCATTTTAGAATCGGTTGGTTTGCTTTTGACAATCATTATCGGTCGATTTGAATAAGTAGGAACTCAATGAACCAGCCAGTTCCTATTGGTTCACTTTAGAACTGGTTGGTTTGCTTTTGACATAATCATTATCGGCTGAGTTGTATGTAAAAACATTATTTTGGGTGCAGTTGACATATGAATGCATATGTAGGTGTAGAGGTAAAGTGCATCTACAAAATTTATCATGGTATATAATTTTGATGTAAAATATTCTTAGGATTAACTCAAAATCTATTTTTATATCTAATTATAAAATTTTAAATTTTAAAAATGATTAAAATCACGTAGATCTATAAAATAAAAAAATCTTGAAAATGTACGGTGTGAATAATATGTTGTAAACTGCACTATTTATGAGACTTCAAATCTTTTTATTTTTCATAGTCATACATCGTGGCGATGATCAATCAAACGGTTTTTCAATATTAAAACTACCTTTTCCGATAGATTTTTTAGGGGAATCCGTAGTTACATCCTTATATAAACTTTTTCCTTATTTTTATGATATATTACTCATAAAAAACATGATTTTTATGAAAAACAACCTGTCTCAGTCCCTCTCCCCGTTCTGAGCCTATCTTGGTGACTTGTAAAACACTGCTGGACTAAACTATTTGAATGGACAATCCCTATCTCATTCTCTCCATAAGGGCTCCTGATTAGAGCTCATTAACATGGCTTGGAAATGAGAGCTGCATGTTCCCGGAAGACCTTCATCAGCTATGAAAAGCCCAACTCAAACACATCTTTAGAATATCAAATGTCAGAGAACAGTAAGAAATAAAAAAAAAAGAAGAACAAATGCAGAGGTAATGGGGGCAGAGAAAGGGGGGAGAGGGTGGGGGTGGTTAGGCCCGTCAAGCAAAAACTGGAACTGTATGTTTGGATTGGATATAGATGTCATTCTCACTCAAATGAAAAATATATTTTCCATTCCTGAGATGTAGGATACAATATGAAATTGAATATTTATATATATGCAACATGCCTTAACAAAGAGATAAGGGAAAAAACAAAGAACGAATGGAGGCTCTTTCCCCCTTTCATATACATTTTCTTTTGTAAGTAGATGTCTTCTCTGAATCCATATCATGAAGAACAACTTGATCACAAGCCAGGATTTGATTCCCCCACAATAAAGCTGTCGTCCCAAGTGGTTTATTAGTTTTAGGCAATTTTAATGGGACAAAATGCCAAGTCTCCCAGAATTAACAACTTTATATTTAGAGACAAATTTCTCAGACACCCATTTCTCATTTCTTCAATTTACAGTCTCCAGGTCCTGCAAGTGAAGCACTGCTGAAACCTTGGGGATCAGATATTTTCTGGGTTCGTTTTTATTGGTCCTAAAATCTTTGAGATTTGAATCACTTGAACTGGAAGGCCTCTTTTGGCATTCCCAAGAGAGAGAGAACTGTTGCAGCAATATGCCTTGAAGATAGGCCTGCTTCCTCTATCTGATCTTGTGGAGATCCATGGTCAATGTATCTATCAGGTAGTACCATGGCTCTTAACTGTAAAAGTTGACTTCTAATCAGAACCAATCATAAGAAACTCAAGGAAACAAAGGTCACTTCTCTCTCTCACTCAAAACTACTATGAGTAAATGATTTTGAGTTCTAGTGTTTGAACTGTAATTACCTTGAGATTTCCATCGAGAAGGCCATCTAAACTTAGGAGATGAGAAACATGGGATCCAAAACCTCCAATGGAGCCTTCTTCCACTGTGACTAGGATTTCGTGTTCCCTAGCCAGTCTTCTGATAAGGTCGAAATCTAGAGGCTTGCAGAAACGAGCATCAGCAAGTGTAACATTGATACCTTGCTCTTTTAGCAATGTCGAAGCTCCAATGCAGTTCTGAACAATGGACCCGAATCCAAGAATTGCCACTCTACTGCCCTCCATCAAAATTCTTCCCTTCCCAATCTGTTGATTAATAAATGAAACTATCAGAATTCCTGTTATCTCTCTCTCACACACACACCCCAAAAAAACAAATGGCCAGCTAACCGCAAGAGGAGTTCCTTTGTTATTGGGAGGAACTGTAGCGCCAACTCCATTGCCCCTTGGGAACCTGAAACAGCTCGGTCTATCATCAATGGCAGCTGCTGTAGCAACCATGTTCATCAGCTCAGCCTCATCAGAGGGTGCCATAACCACCATGTTAGGCAAGCAAGCCATGTATGCAATATCAAAAGCTCCACAATGTGTTGGCCCATCAGCTCCAACTAGTCCTGCTCGGTCTAGTGCAAACCGAACAGGCAATTTTTGAAGATCCACATCATGCACCACCTTCAATTAAAAAACAAGAACAAAATAGACCTGTTCTCTCAGTTCCTTTCTAGAGAGTATCAGGAGGGATCTTATTAATTTTGATGTCAGGTAGTTTCATGTGAAAATCCAGAGAGAAGGATTCTCACGAAAAATACCACATTTCCATTTGAAATTTTAGATCCTTGGAGAGAAGAATTCCCATGAGAAAACAGAAACCTACCTCTTTCCATGATTTGAATTCTCCAAGAAAGAGAGAGAGTAAAATACAAAACATAGCATTACATAAGTTAAAATTCTTGGAGGGAGAGATAGAGAGATGGATTCCCATGAAATATACGTCACCTTTCTTCTGAAAATTTCAAGTTCTAATTTCTAAGATATGGAAAGAAAGAAGGAATCCTTTTCCAAATTGTTGGAGATTGACTAAGATAAAGAGAGAGGAATACCTGGTCATAGCCTCGTTGGAGGAAGGATGAGTAAATGGCACAAAAAGGCTTGAGGCCCTCAGTAGCAAGGCCTGCAGCAAAGGTAACGGCATGTTGCTCAGCAATCCCAACATCGAAGCATCGATCAGGGAACTTCTTTTGGAAGAAATTGAGGCCAGTTCCACCACCCATTGCGGCATGGATTGCTACAATCTTATTATCTCTCTCTGCTTCTGCAATAAGAGACTCTGCAAAGTATTGTGTATATGAGAGAGTGGGAGATTTGGATTTGAATTGTTTCCCAGTTTTTGGTTCGAACTTCACCACCCCTGTCAAAAAATGAAGAGAGATGATCAACCAACCAAAAAGTAAAGAGAGATAATAAGCTGAAGGATAGTTCTTGACTAGTATGCATTGGAGAGAGAGATGGAGGGAGAAAGACAGGGAGAAAGAGAGGATTATGATAAAAAAGGAGAAATGGTACACTTGCTATTCATTAGTACTACTGCATCTTTATGAGAGAAATTAATTGATAATTATTAAATACTAGTTGAGAGAGAGAGAGATTGGATTAGAAACTAAGAAGACATTGTAAGCTCAGTGTTAATCAGTATTTAGGAGAGGATTATCAATGGAAACCAGTACTATTTTACGACAGAAAAAGACGGAAACATCAATAATTCTTGAGTGTTCCTCATGAGAGAGAGAGAGAGAGAGAGAGAGAGAGAGAGTAGTCTCGTTCGTACCATGACTTATTTATACGAGGACGCGTCGTCCTCGACGACGAGGACGGTAACTTTAACCCTTTTCCTTTCTCGTGTACGAACTAATAGT